GAATTTTGTTGCCAAAAATTAAGCAATTTTTTTTGGAGGTGTTTGACTGTTGTTTTTATAGACTTTTCTAACAGCAATATCACTATCAGCAATTGCAACAAATGGTGTGGTACCGGGTGGTGGACCATACTATATGATATCACGTAACCTTGGTCCAGAACTTGGTGGTGCAGTTGGTTTCCTGTTCTTTCTGGGAACTACAGTAGCGGCTTCTATGTACATTTGTGGTGCTGTTGAAATCTTTGTTGTAAGTCGTCGTCTTTTTTTTTTTTTTTTTTACACTTTGATAACACTTTTTTGCAAATATTTTACAATTTTATTTGTGCTAAATACTAACAGAAATTTGACGGTATTTGACGGTTTCCTGTGACACAGTAAAACAGATCCCTTTTTTTTTCAAACTGTTTATACAGTAATGATAATGCGCAAGAATTGCAGTGTGTTAGTTTGAGAATTTTTTCAATTACGGTCTGAACAACAAATATTTGCTGTTTATTTGGCATTAACAAATTTTTCAACAACAGATTAGTGATAAAAAAAAAACTTGTAGAAACTGAATAATTTCATTTTTTTTTTCTCCCATTTTTTATATCTTATTTTCTTTTTCGTCATTATTATCACTGTTTTTGCATGAAGAAAAAAGACTTACAAAAATTAGCATCAGTGAAAACAATTTTTACTTTTTTTTTTCCTGTATTTTGTTTTTATTTTTTTTAAGATAATAGAAGGCAAATTTTGCTAAGTATTTGAAACTAATGATAGAAAAAAAAGTGAATGAAAGGGGAAATAAATTTTCAGCTATATCTTATGCCGCAAGCGAAACTTTTCGAGAACATATATCATTGTTATCGGTTATTTGGTACACTGCTTTTACTTATCGTCGGCCTTATTGTTTTGGCTGGAGTTAAAGTAAGATTTTCAGTGGATTAATTTTCTTACCATCAAATTTTTCCTTCTTTTTTTGCTCTCTCCCCAACTTATATTAACTCTCTTTTTTTTTTTCTTCATCTATTCAACTGTTTTATCAGCTTTTCAGCATTAGTTTAGTTGTCCAATTTAATGCAGCCCAAAAAGTATTTCCTGCATCTGCATTCCTAACTGACAGCATTAGTTCATCCTGTGTCAGTTTATTGAATAGATTTTGAAAAAAAAAAAATAAATAAATATGGTATTATTATTATTATTATTATTATT